TGCAAGAATCGATGCAAATCTAACAAGAAAACTGCGGAGAAACGATAAGTAATATAGATCTGTTAATTTTTTTTGAAGAGTACGGGATTTGTCTGTATTTATATAGCGGAGATGTAAATTGTGATTTCGCTATCTAGGGTTTTGCATCTAACGGACTTACGATATTATTTTAGTGGGCCGTATGATAAAAACATTTGGCCCATTTGTGTATGGTTCGTGGCTTCGTGCTTTTTATTATGGGTTAATTAAGCTAATAACCAAATTCTGATTTATAATTAGCATAATAACCATGTAATAAAATAAATATATTATCTTAAGCACTGTTTGTGTGGACGAAAATACCCTCAACACGTGTTAGTAGAGGACGCATGTGGGACTTGTGTGTTATGTAATCTCCAGCAAGTGGGTGATGTGGACAGAGGAGATATCAGAGTAAAATCCTATCATTTAAAAAAAAAAAAAAATACCAAAGAGATATCAAGTAACCCTCCACATCAGGTAGTGTATTTACTTTACCTTGCTTTTATCTCAGTAAGGCATTTCCGTCTATCAATACACGTTACACTATCCGTTTGAAATTGAACATGAAATTTTGTTAGAAAATGAATTATCATTTTTTTGGGTTATTTTTGCTAATTTTCGTTTTATTATCAGGTTCACAACAAAAAAAACTAAGAAAATCAAGATGGAGTCTAAAATCAAGCATAATTTTGATCAATTCAGGAGAAAATCAATGTCAAATTACTTTAATATGACTATGATGCAGAAGCTTTGGTATCAGAAAGTCGACATTTCAGAACTATTGCCGCAAAACATCGGGTTTTTTATGCGGTGTGAAATTCAGAGGTTTAGCCAAGAGATGCTACTCACACACACAATTTGCAATCAGAGCAAGATCGAGTACGAAGAAGGAAAAAAAGGAATTCATTTCGTTTGTGAGTAAGATTTGTCTACGGAAAGCGTCGTCAAATTCACTTTTTTCAATGTATTTTTCTCACAATATAACGCATATACTTGCTTATGTAATAATTTGTTTTCCGAAAGTTTTGTATACAGACTTTGTAATCTCCTTTTGAAATCAATGAAATTGTTAGACGGAAAAAAAAAACAAGAGCTAAGAAAAATTCCGTGAAGATTCGTAACAAACTCATAAATACTTTAATACAACTAAAAGATTGTTCAACTAATAGACTTTTGTATGAGTTTGTTAGATTTAAAAAGATAGTTCAACTAATAGAGTTTGCTAAATCCAATTTTTGTACGAGTTTGCTACATCTAATGGGCCGTATACACAAATGTAAAGAATCTTTGGTTGTATAAAAGTATTTACGAGTTTGCTACATCAAATTTTCACAAGTAATTTTTTAATAATCTTTTGTATGAGTTTGCTACATCTAATTTTCACAAATCTTTTAGTTGAATTCGAATGCACTAAAATAACATGATTACAATGGGTTAAGTTAATGCTGAACAACACAAAAAAAAATTAGATCGAGCATAAAAATTTTATAAGAAACCGACTTATCAACCGGAACATGTGATCCACTACGTTTTGTCGTATACATAAACAAAAAAAATAGTGAAGCACACTAAAGTTTTACTAGTTTGGTAATGATCGAAGCGATCACTATCTACGTCTCAACTAGCCACTAGAATCGGATTACCAAAGTTAGATCAAAAAAATCTTAGGATTCGAATATTAAACTTGTGTGCCACTATAAACCACTTTTATATATTTGTAGAAAGTACAAATTTTTTTATCGTGTTTCCACATTCACATGACTCATAATTATTCAATCAAGCAGAAAATTAGTAGAGTTTGATAACGACACGAATCATCAAAAGCTATACCAAAACTGGTAAAATCGACTCATTAGCCGCGTGGGGCAGTTGAGTAATAAACAGAGATTGAATACTCAATACTAATTACATTACTATCTTCTTCTTTCTTTTTCTTTTTGATAAAATTACATTAATATCTTGTTTCACAAGTTTAGAGTATACAGAATAAAAGAATAATTATGTCCATTTCGTTGAATGTACTAGATTGGTCTAGTTTTATCATTGCCATATCTTGTACTCAAATAAAAATGGTGGAGAAATATTAAGTATTAAAACTTGTAAATACTACAAATGGTGTATAAGTGCACGAGCATACCAATCATACATCTAAAGAAAATACGAACGAACTGAAAATGTAGTCAGTTCTAAATTGGACTAAAAATACATATCAAAAAGTAAAAACAAAAATAAAGTTGGTGGTTGCAAAAAATAGCATTTAAACAATTGTAATAAATTGATGCAATTTCAAAATGCCATTGAAAAGAAAAGCAATACATACATATTCCACTCCACCATTACTAAATCAAGAAAGAGTTTTGGTTTCATGATTATCTACGCAACTCACCAAAAATGGATAGATGAACGTGCATGAGCAGGTGAAGAAAATTAAAAACATACCATAAATCCATTATAAATAGAGAGAGAAGAAGCATTACAATACTAGCAATTTATTAGAAAACATTCAATCATCAAGAGGAGTTCAAATAATCAGAAGAGAGAAAAATGGTGACAGCTTGCATCAGATAGTAAGACATTGAGGACCAACTGCAGATGATGATGCATTCCAGAGACGACAGGTATAAGTTTATTCGACTCGAGTAACGATTTATCCACATCATTAATTACTTACAATTGATGAGAGTTAATTTGGTTTAAAAATGTGATTAACCAAATTAAAAGGGTGGTTAAGCCGGCTGCTTGGTGGGATGAAGATGAGGTTACAAAAGACATAGTGGGAGATAGAGATGAGAAAACAGGAGGGACATGGTTTGCTTCTTGTCAAGGCAAGGCCGAGTTGCACTTCTTGTCAATGTAACGCGTCTAACGCCTTTTCGCAATGCTGGAGCCGAGTTGCTTACTGTTAAGTTCTTGAAGGTATATATATATACTTAACTACTCTCTTTGCAGCTTTTTAACATTTTTATTTATAAAAGCTAGTACTTTGGTTCTCATGATCGAGATGTCTAAAAACAGGGCAAAATGACTCCAAAGGAATTTGCAAATGAGCTTGAAATGGACAAGAATCTGTCTTTTGGACTTACCTTTAACTTAGTTGTGGCAGACATACATTCAAAATCAATGTTTTACATCTCTAAAAAGACTCAAAACAAGGAAGTTGATGAGATAAAAGAAGTTGGACCTGGTCAGTATGTCATTACCTCAGCCGGAATCTATGATCTCACATGCCCTGAGGTAAAAATATAATCCTATATAACATGTTTTAGTGCTGAATATGTATAGTTGTTACATTTTTGGAGGGTCATTTTGCAGAATAAACGTCTTAAAGACAAGTTTAATTAAGTACTCAAGGAATATACATTTTTGGAGGGTCATTTTGCAGAATAAACGTCTTAAAGACAAGTTTAATTAAGTACTCAAGGAATACAAAAACAAAGGATTATCGGAGAAGGAATTTGTTGGCAAGCTGATGAGTGATGATCAAGTCATGGTAACTGAATATGAAGGAGAAAGTCATTATAATTCCCATCTGATTTACATTAATTGTTGTTTTGGACTCTTCAATTACAATTTTTTGTCCATTTTTGGTTTTAGGGTAATAATGGAACAGCGCTATTGGATGTGGAACGCACTGGGAAAGCAATTTTCTTTGAGATATACCCGGAGAAGGGTGGACCTATATACCGCCAGTTCAATTTCGACATGGAGTAGTTTGAATCATGAACCGTGACATGATCGACATCAAATATTTAGTATCATTATTATCTATAAATACTCTTGTTGAAGCTGGTAAGCTGTGTTGTAGCTTATAGGATTACAACCTTGTTGATTCGGGTAAACATGTTTCCTTGGTCGTTTTATATATCTAGTCTAAAGAAAGAATATGGTTAAATGAAATAAAAAATAGTTTGGTTTTCTTAACCTTCTTTTCACATATAACGAAGTGAAAATCACTTATAAAATGACCTAACCGTAATGGAATATGCAAAATGACGAATGAAAATATTTTTTACAATAAAGATATTCATTTACACCTCTCAAAACCCCACATTAAAATTACATACCTACTCCATTCGACCGCAAAATCAAACCATCCCCCACATATATCCAAAAAACTCAAGTGTATCTCTATCTTTTGTTTTTTTACTGTTTTAGAAAATAACCTACATTTTCTAAAAACAAAGACCATCTCCACCGTACCTAATGATCATTGTTGATATCCGACGGTGGCAAGAAACTCTCCAAACACAGACCACAAATATTAAAATCAACCTCCTCAATCCTCCATTTCTCTTCGATTCTTCTACGGTGGTTAACCGCTCCGCCGTAACGGTATAGCGTAGTCACGGTTTGACCACCGTGTGCTATGTTAACCGAGTCAACGAATATGTAATCATCAATGATTGACTCCATGCTTGTCTCCCAAAAAACGCCGTCGTTTTTGCCTCTAACGGATTTGACTTTGACTAACTTTGTGTCACCGAATTTAACGAGTAATCCTGTCCTTTGGCTGAAGAAACCCCACACTGTGTGGTGAATCACCTCCGTGTTTGGTGAACATTGTGCCTTGAGAATATCTGAAGGTGTCTCTACCTTTAGGACGAAACAGTCTTCGCCGTTAACGGTTTGTTCGCCGATGCAAACGGCGTCTAAGAACAGACTCGCCGTGCACCTCGGGTCTAGTCCCTGCCACATCATTTAACAAGGGAAAATGTCAAAAGATATTTAAATACGAATTTTTAGATTTTTGATGATTAAGATCAAACATTTGCTTAATTTCCATTGGATAAGCGACTATGTATTTGCTAGTCTCTACTACATTGTGATTAAATGTCGAATCATGAGTTAAAATGTTATATAGCTTCAAAAATTTTGCTTAGTAAGAAAAATGACTAAACGACTAAATTATTATAAAAAAAAAGAGGGTAAAATGACTACATTTTGTAACACCAAAATGCAACCAAAACTTTATATTGGTACAATATTAGTATTGATGGTTTAATGGTGTTGTGTATTTGTATATGCTAGTAGCCTAGTACCATGACGAATCACGATAACATTAATACAAACCAATAGACTAGTTCTAGTCTGGTTTAACTAATTGTGTAAAAGTTGATTGTATAAAGTCAATATTATGTAATAAAGGTTAAATACAATGCATTCAAGTTTGAAATGGGTACCTGAAAAAAGCGACGAAGCGGGCGAGGAGGGCCACGGTGAGCCTGAGAAGGTTGTGTGGATGATTGGTTCCAAGCGACTTTACCGTCACTACCGGCGCTAATCTTGAAACCGGAAACCACCAGCTCCAAGAACCAAAGGTTTGGGTTCTTCTGCCATAAAACAAAACCTCCGACCTCAAAACTGCCTTTTCCTAGTCGCACCGGTGTACCCGTCCCTTCATCTTCCCCAGCAACCATCTCAGAGCCTTGCATCCTCACCTGCCCCACCGCGTACATGCTCTTCACCGCGTTCAAAGCTGCTGGACCACCGCAGGCTGCCACGTACTGCTGCACTATGTACTTAGCCGTGGACGCCTCCTTCAAATACACCATTACTATTAACATTGCGCATAATATTTTATCTAATTTAAAAACAAAATCTCGATATCATACAAAACCTTGAAATGTTAATTTGTCGACTCATAAAAGTTAATAACCAATTGCATTTTCATCTCTATGCATTTCCTCTTTTTTCCTCTTTCGATAACCACTAATCTTCTTAACAAATGAAAAAACTATTTTTTACCTTTTTAAAAAACGTTCATGGAAATCAAAATTTCAATTAAAATACTCAAATCTTGACATAAACCCACATGATAAATCTTCAACCAGTAGTTTTACCATCTATATATTCGACACATGTCTCACACAAAATCCTTTGAGAACCTATACTTAAGACAAGAAGTAAATATGACGATAGAGAGAACAAAAGAAAAATGATTATACGTACGATGGAAGTGTCATTGATGGGTCGGGAGAGACAAAACTCGAGAGGGACATGAAAAGGAATAAGAGGACTTCCCACGATTTTCAACAAGGCCACAAACTCGTTGTCTGATTTTGATTGCAAATGCATATTGACATTACTCATCGACGACGAAGAAGCCGGCATTCTGACGTCAGCCGCGACGGCTGTCACGACGACGGCGTGTGCTTTCATGAGAGCATGCATGTTCCTCCACCGTCCGGTCGCGTTGCTTCCCATCTTTGCAAACATTTCTTCCGGCACCGGAACCTCTAACACCGTCTCTAACCCGTCTTCTCTGTCCAAATTCGGACAAAGCTTCCTC